CTTTGCAAATAAACTAATTATATATAAAGTAGCTATTAAACCTATGCTGCTGTATGCTTGCCCAGCATGGAGTTACACGTGCGAATCGAACATCAAAAAACTGCAAGTGGTCCAAAATAAATTTCTAAGGTTTGTAACCTCACTACCTCGATACACTAGAATTGGCCTCCTCCGTGAGAAAGCGGGAGTGGTGTATATTAATTCCGAATTAAAACGTCTGTCCAGGAATTTCTTTATGGGTCTCTCCTCCAGCAAGAACACTACTTGTAGGGATATAGGAGTGTGTGATGTAAACTTTCCATGGAAACATAGAAGGATTAGGCACAATACATAAATTTAGTATCTGTGATATATTTATTGTTTCCTCTAGAGCTGTGATACTATAAGACAATTTGTGATAATTCAATTACCCGTGTAGCATTGTTATTGTTATTCTCATTTATTTATTTATATTTTTGTTAACACATTTTCATTAATTCATTTGTTAATTTTTATCCTAATTGATACCTAGTGGGTTTTTTAAGAAGATTTTTCCCACTATTTTCTTGTTTGATTAATTAAAAATAATAACAAACTAGGACTAGGTGCGTTGATAGGAAAATGTTTTGAAATGGGACGTAAAAGTGTCCCGCCACTTCCCCTGCTTAATGAATGTTATGTAACACAATGTATAAGTATTTTTTTAATAAATGTTTATTCATTCATTCAGAGAGACAACAATTGAAATTAACATTTCTAAAGTACGCCATCTTTTCACCACCACACAGGCAATACTAACCTCGAGTCGAAAATAATAATAGATTGGATTTTTATTTTACAATAGTGCAATATGAATTACTTTCTACTTACTAACTAACCTGAAAGCCTAAATGAGGATACCCCTTGGATTCTCAATTAACTTTAAATTTAAACTTGAATTTTCAATTTTTTCCTTATGCTAATATAGAATAAATAAGCAATTTAAATTAAAATTATTAAAAGAAAGTTATTAACGAGTCAGTCCGAATTAACGCAAAATGACCGAGAATGAGGGTTAATGAACCTGACTTCAACCAAAACAACCCTTGGCCTCCTATTCCTACACACATGAAGTACATCAAAACCGAAAGAAAACCTTGAAAGGTGCGAATATCGGTCATAACCCTAGATGAATAGGCAACGTTAAAGTTATTACCTACGCCGTTCCATATCATTATGGTCTGACAGGCGCGTTTTCGCTATCAGATATTTTCAAAAAGTAAAAAAGCAGCAGGTTTTGAAAAAGTAGGACAAGGGTGATGTAACATAAGTCGTTTCCGATCATTTTGATCTTACTATCCAAGCGGTTGTTCGTTTCTTGTCATCCTGTGATGCCAATCTTAGTCGAAAGCCGAATTCAAGAAAGATCCCTAAGCAGCAATCCTTCCTGTCATGGCCTGTAATGATGTCCACGACACGTTGTTACTATTGGTCAATAAAAAGTCTGCTGTCTCACAAGATTCGTCCAAGAATCGGCCAACTCCGACTATTGTCCGCTGGGATCGGGAGTACGACAGGGCAGCGTACTTGGACCAACCCTTTACCACCTCTACACCTCCACCATCCTTGCATCATTTGTCGACGACGAAGCTGTGCTATCCTCTGATCTCGATCCCAGAATTGCTTCGTGGAGCTCCAGGCACATTTCCTGCAAATAGCGAATGGAGCAAACACTTGCGTATAAAACTTAATGAAAGCAAAAGAACCCATGTATCATTCCCTTCGAAGCAAAACCCTACATACAATATTCCTCAATAATATTCGCATCCCTAAAACAGACCGAGTCCTCTACCTTGGTTCCTACTAGACTCATGACTAACCTGGAATCAACACATAAACGACAGGAAAACGTATCAGACTACTGGCACGCAAACCTAACGTTTCAACAGAACACAAACTGACAAGAACAAACTACAAGACTATGCTAAAACAAGTCTGGACGAACAGATTAGAACTGTGAGGCACCGCTACGTTTTTGTAGCATCCAATGAATGGGGTCCTTCCAATCCAAAGTCCTCAGAACCGTACTCAATTCTCCTTACTACGTATCCAACATCACACATCACAATTATCTCAAAATCATTCTCATGCAAAAAATAATCCCATGATTAATTTTCCGCTTTCCACAATAAACTCTTCTCAATCGAGCTGCCCAATCTTTATCCAATGGAAACCATCCCTACAAAACAAGGATTAGTTCTTGCATGTTGGGAAAAATACACTGGTTGTTAGCTCATTCCATAATTGAAATAAGGTGTACAGTGTAATAAATATAACAACTTAAAAAAATAAATAGTTATCGATAGTTACCTAAAGTTATCACAAGAAAAGATAAAGTAAAAACCTAATCCTCAGGCAGGAAACGTGTTTGGTGGATGTTGCCGAAGTAGCAAGAAATATAAACTGGAACTGGGCAGAACAAGCTGCAAGGCTGGAATAATATAAGGGTAGCCAAAACGTGTTTCAGCCTGGAAATCCAGAGAAAGAAAAAGATGTAAATAAAGAAAACACATGAACAACTTTACAGTTATTAGCTTGGCTCCTACTATTTTAGGTCGTAAGGAGTCCTTGTTCACTATGGCACAAACATTCACTCAACAACGTTGGGCCACTGTGTACAGGGGCCATTACACTATCACCCTTGCCCTGCTTTTATTACTTGCAGATTGATTTCTCTTCAAACGATCTTAAGGTGGCCATTCACGATCACTCCAAATGGAACCGCGCTAAGCCGTACAACTCCATTTGGAGTGCCTGAAATTTGAGGGGCATTCACGACCGCTCCACAGCCATTGGCTCACAACGTCAACCAGTGAATTACCTTCTCAAAATGGATGACGATCTCTTGTGCTATTCTTCTGTTTATTTACATATTAAAAGCAAAAAATCGAAGAGAAAATGGTGTAAGATGTGGCTCCTGAACGGAAGCCGTAATACCCACACCAATTTGATTAAAGAACTTTCCCTTGAACCCGCTGATTGGAGGAACTATTTAAGGATGGATGAAACGTCTTATTCATTCTTTTTTTAGTGTTCTATTGACGAAATTACTTCTTTCAATTAATTAATATTTATAAGGGTTTGTTTGAAATGAAAAAAGCTAGTGCCACGAGCGGGATCTGAATCCATGGCCTTCGGATAAATACGCCGCTGCTCTACCACTTCAGCTATCGTGACTTCGATCCTCTCCGACACCAAAAAATGGCAAAAAGAGAGAACATTCGAAAGCTTGTAGGTTGAGATGGGGAGTTGGTGCCCTAGTGGATCGAACTATCGAAGTCACGATAGCTCAAGTGGTTAGAGCAGCGGCGTATTTAGCCGAAGGTCGTGGGTTCGAATCCCGCTCGTGGCACTAGTTTTTCATTTCAACCAAAACCTTACAAAAAAAGATTAACGTGTTATTTATACTCCAGCTTGTTACCCCCTTGATTAGAAAACAAAAGACAGTCATGAGAGAAATCATCACTACATGAAAGGTTGGCAACCACATTACGATTTCTCGCTACAGGGATGAACAACAAAGAACTTAAGTTCTCCACTACGATTTCTGATCATTGTTAGGGGTTATCAATACCGTATCTCTCATTGCATTTGTATCCTTTGTTTTGAAAACGTCGACCAACTGGTTGAGGATCGAATTTTTTTTATTTCTATCGTGTTAATATAATCATTGTCCACCACTTCCATAAACAGGGTAAACTTTAATACAATTCAATCACCTCAACAATAAAATCTCGATTGGATGTCATTACAAATAAAGAATAAACGTTTTTGACTTTTTGAGAATGTACGACGGAGATGTTTGCTCAGTGACAGAAAGACGTAGACTGCGCCAAAAAAACGAGATTTTTCCCATTCACGACCAAGCCAGCGCTCCAATATTCCACCGTTTACGCCAGGTTTTCCCATTCACGAACGCGCCATGCCGTCGTAGCGCCGTAGATATTTGGAGTGGCGGGATGGAGTTTGGACCGGTCGAATATTCGGCACAGCAGAGCACGCCAGTTCAGTGTTGCCATTGACGTGGTTTTTGGAACGGCGTCGCTCCATTTGGACTGCTAGGAGCGATCGTGAATGGCCACCTTTATATTTTTTCTGTTCTTTTATTTGTTTGTCTAGAAACCGAAACACGCCTGACGGAAGGTTGGAAATGGTGTTAGGGAACATTCGCTTTGGCAGCTGTCTCACTGAACACATCAAAGGAGGCCCGCCAATATGCGCGAATAATGTGCGCAGTAGATAGGTCGTCCATGCACTGTTCCAACATTGCTCGGCCATTGTTTGTTATTTCCAACCAGGTTTCTGTCAATAACCATTATACACACTAGCCAAACATAAAGCTGCAGCAGTTCTTGGGCAAAGGGTTCGCCTATGTATTGGCCCCGTGTATGGATCATGGCCAGCGTGACATGGTGTCCAGCTTGGTGACCAATGTATATGTATTGGCCTGTTATGGCCCATAGTGTAAAGTTCCTTTTAGTCTGCCTATACAAGCAGTTTTGACCTGTCCGGTACATTTCGGCTTCTCGTTATTTTTTGACACCAGTCTCGATCGAAAGCCTATATCAAGAAGACACCCTGAGCAGGATTTTTTCTTCTCAGGCCAGTGATCCATGAAAAACTTCCATGGCTTCCAAAAGTGAGTGGTATAAGTGCATTATACAGAATAGTTAAGAAAGCTATTGCATTTATTGGTTATTTACGGTGGCTTCAAGGGGAAATGAGGTCAAATCAGAGGTAGATTTTTAATTGTGTATTTGACGTTAGAAGGAGTTTAGGGGACAACAGAGTCGGCCGGGATTAGAGATTCTATTTTTGAAACTTAATACAAAAATTCATAACATGAGAAGTTTTTTTTTAACGAATTGTTTTAATAAACAAAAAAGAATAACGGATATACAAACGCCGTCGATCGGCAAGCCAAAACGTTTTATCGGCGAATTTTTCAAGTTTCCATGAGTTAGATTTTAAAATCAACTTACAATTATATTCGTCCCCAACTTTATTTGCACCTTTGCAAACCTGAAAAATCAAGATTTTTATCATTATTTCAAAATTAATGCTATTGAAACTCAAATATGCTAGCACAAAAATGACTTGAAAAACGTGCATTGTAATATTTTTTTAAAATATTGTGGTGAAATATACGTATATTTATTTATTTATTTACCATTACCCTCTATAAATATTACATAACTAAACTAATTGAGGGTCGATGGGGTACTCAATATTGGACCATCAGCCCTCACAGACTACACATTCACGCCAATAAATACATTCACTCTCAACACACACCGGATGACGCAAAACAATCCTTCAAATATCGGAACGGGAGACACAAATACTTGCTGTGTGCTCGAGCACAATTCTCATTCGACAGAGCTCTTAATCCGTGAAATGTTGTTTATAAATAAAAGGATAGTAATTAACAATTAAATATAAAATAATTTCAAAACATCGAAAAAAGTTTTGTTTTTTCGAGAGAAAGAGAAATGTATAGGCAGAAAGGATGGCATGATATCTATGAAAACGTCTTCAATAAACAGTTTCTCCAAACTGAGTCTTTTACCAACAAAAAATTTAGTATGTATATGATGAATTTGTTCCTTTTTAACTCTTTCTTACTCAAAGTTGCCCCAGTGTAATGCCAACTTTAGAAATTCGGTTTATGGATAGCAAAAATTCACGTTAGTTTAGGACGGGAGCAGTGTTGTCCCAGCTCTGTTACGGCCGGAGTATTGGCAACATTGATTTTTTTGGAGCAAATATAAAATCTCCATCTTGGAATCTCTCCACTGCACTTTGTAACGATTGTTATATTTGGCAAACATAAAATTAGTCAAATCCAGTTTATAATTTAACCCTTTCTTGTCCCAAATGTTTTAGAATTTTTTTAAGTAAGCAGGAAATCTTGTGAGTTTAGGGCAGGCAGTGTTGTCACTATTCCGTTTCTGATCGTGTATTGGTAACACTGGTTTATTTGGCGCCAATCTAAACTCTCTCTCTCGCTATATTTTCACAGCAAGAATCCGTTCATATACATGAATAATAAAAGAGAGAAAAGAAAATTCGACGCATTGGGCTCGAGTTAGCTAAATCGACGGATGGAACGCGTTCCTAGCCGGTTATTTTAAGGGCAGTGGAAAAAGTTAACGATCAATGTCCAGGGAAAAAAGGGTCGAGGTTGTTTGTGTTCGACGGCCACATGAGAATTGCTGTATAATAGAGCAACTTAACGAGAAAAATCGCACAAGTAGTACAACCCGGAAAAGGGACTAGGAAAAAAAGAGAAATTACACAAAAAGAAAAAAGGAAAATTACTTCGATCCCATTACAAATACTGTTATTATCATTACATACCTAATCTTATTAGTTTAGGATCTGTTATTGCCTTATGTAATGATAATTTTTGTATGTAAAAATAGTTAAAATGATTATTTGGTGATCGTGAGATGCGGTCTGGTGTGATGTAGGTTTCAGAAAAACATTTTCTTTATCATGCCAACGTTTCAATTTTTATTGAGATCATCTTCAGGGCCTTTTTCACATACTACATGTATTTGTAAAATTTAAACAATTTTTATAAATCCCATTCCTTGAAGATGATCTCAATAATGATCGAAACGTTGGCACGATAAAGAAAATGTTTTTCTAAAACCAACGAGACACCAGATTGCATCTCACGATCTCCAAATAGTCATTAACTAACGGTCACAAAACACCACACAAAATAGTTACAGGATTTTCATCAATAAAAGTGAAAACCAAAACGAAAATATAAAATATACACACACCAAAAAACCAATAATCAATTAGAAAACATCTTTAAATATTTTTTCATCATTAACTAATAAAATAATTTTCAATCAATTGATTTTCGAGTAAAAATTAATTAATGAATAGTAATTAAGGTGAAAAATGTGTGGTTTCTTGCGTACGATTTCTCAAGGAGAAATATTTCATTCTAGTTTAATTTGTTGCCTTATCAATGATGTAACACGTGTACATCCAGGAAAATGATATCAAATAGTAAACTCAAGTAAATTTAGATTTTGTTCCAATAATGAAGGAAAATGCCATTTTGAAGAAAAGAAAACACTCATTTACTTTGCCAACTTATCGAGAACTATATCCCTTCATCCGGACATTGAGACTGCGATCAATAATTTACAGGATTAACGAAAAGTAGGCAGACAGAGAGAAGGATAATGTTTGATGAGGAGGAGGAGAGAGAGAGAGAGATAGAGAGGGGGTGAAAGGGATGGAGTGAGCAAGAGACAAACAGACAGAAAGGAAAACCAGCAATCCAAAAACAGAGAGAAAGTTTGATGACAAAGGAGAGATCGAGTAACAGTTAAAGCGAGAGTGGAAGACAAGGTGAGAGAAAAGGTAGAAAGATAAGAAAGAGAAAAGGCAAAATGGAGGGAGTGAGAAAAAGAGAAACTGACAAAAAATGACAAACAGACAAATAGCATTAATGTAGGAAGAGGGAGGAATGAGAAAGTGAGGGTGAGAGAAAGAGAAATGCGAGAGAGACGGTTGGAAAAGAGAGAAAGTGAAAGGAATGGTATGAGCAAGTCATAAACAGACAGAAAAAAAGAAACAAGCACGCACAAAGGTAGAGAGAATGCCTGATTAGGAAGGGATGATCGAACACTTCAGAGAATGAGAGAGAGGGAAATTGCAACTCGCCCGAGAAAAAGAGAGTGTGAATGGACGAAAAGAAGGGAGTCATAAAGAGACAGAGGATTAATTTTGGACGAGGGAGCAATGTGAGAAAGGATGAAAGAGAGAGAAGATGAAAGGAGTAAAGAGAGCAAGTGATAAACAGACAGAAATAAAAGGAAGCACTCAAAAGACGAAGAAAATGCTTGATGAAGAAGGTGTGATAGAATGAGAGAGAGAGAGAGAAAGAGAGAGAGAGTGAGTGAGTGAGTGAGAGAGAGAGAGAGAGAGAGATAGACAGACACACAGACAGAGAGGGAGAGAAGGAGAGATAGATAGATAGATAGATAGATAGATAGATAGATAGAGAGAGAGAGAGAGAGAGAGAGAGAAAGAGAGATAGACAGACAGACAGAGAGGGAGAGAAGGAGAGATAGATAGATAGATAGATAGATAGAGAGAGAGAGAGAGAGAGAGAGAGAGAGTGAGAGAGAGAGTGAATAGTGAGTAAGTGAGTGAGTGAGTGAAAGAAAGAGAGAGAGAGAGATAGACAGACAGACAGAGAGAGTGAGAGAGAAGGTGAAATAGATGGAGTGGGCAAGTCTGGCAGACAGAAAAACAAGAACACAAAAAGAGGAGAGATGCAAATAGACAGAGGATCAATGTAGGACGAGGGAGGCGTGAAAGAGGGAAAGTGAGAGAGATCTTCCTCTCCCTAGCAATTTAGATCGCAATGCTTAGCCAATCTATCTTTAATTCTTGTATCTTTAATTGTAATAATTTAAAACTTCTCCAGTCAATGGTTTGAATTGACCCGTCAGTCAACGAACAGTACCAACCGCGGCAGCTGAGTGGTTAGAGCGTACCATTCTATTTCTTTGTATTTGTCATGCTAACGGTTAAAGGTTTGAATCCAGGTATCCCACGAATTGTTTTGTCGATTAATTTGTTATTAATTATTATGCGTGCCTATAAAAAATTCAGGATTGGATTAAGAATATTACCATACAACAATATCGGTACTGAATGAAATACTTTAAGTTGGCAAAAATGGACCGGCATAAAAGATCGATATTTCTTGTTCGATGTGCATCGCTTGCGTATCTGTAAGGAACGTTTAGGAGATACACGTGTCATTTTGACTTTCAACCTTTTTCAGCTATTGCCTCGAGCCAGAAATGAATGTTTCACTTATTTCTCTTGGGCGGACGATTCAAATCACGGAGAAACTAATCGGTATAAAATGTTTTGGCCGTTCCTCGCAGGTTCGTGGAATGATTTGTTTACGCGCAAATAACGGTGTTTATTGAATCTCATCCTATCCGGTCCAAAAGGTCCGGAAACGTTCCTAATCGCCTGTGTGTGTCCAATTGAATAGCTGTAACGAAGAGCCTGTTTTGCAACACAAGCTGTTTCCAATTCTTGATACGCCAGATCCAAAAAAGAACCTTGTACTTTATTAATTGTCTTTGTGTCAAGTGTGATGGAGGAATATCGAATGCATTACCCCACTTGAGAGAATAGAAACTTTTCTTGGCTCTATATAGGGAACGAGTGGGAAAGCCACGCGATATGAAAACTGTCCATGAGCACAGCCTGTCTTTGGCTTTTCCAATTTGTAGAATAAAAGGGGCTGTTTTTTGCTTACAGTACTTGATTGACATCTCGTTTTGTAAATGTATCCATTAGAGTGAATATGCAATTAATACCTTATCAACCTTCGATTAGATTACTTATAGAGAATGTGTAAACGGTGGAGAACTCGTTATTCCTCCATCACCTTACTTGAGTAGAATGTAGAGTGCCATTTGTTCACATTCCAACTGTTTCAGTTCTCAGCAATGTTCTGTTTTGTACTATTTGGATTGTTTTCAACAACAGGTTGGGTTTGTCATGAATCATGATCAACGGTGGAAGGGCGACCAGAACGTAGCAAACCACTTACGGAGGTTGTTTGTTATAAGGTCATCCCCGTTGGGACTTCCTGACCGTCTGTATTGTGTTATTTCCTTTGCGGATGTATAAAAGAAGGAAATCCCCTTAAATTATAAAAAAAGTTATCAATATATTTCGACATGTATTTTCAAACTGAAAAACATTTTCGACGCATCATCTAGTTATGCGTTAAAACTGGTTAACTAGTAGAAAACACATTCGGGCTATTCACAGTGTCGAGACATGATGACACTGACCTCATGTCCCACTTCACACCTGAGCACTCTTGAGTGAAAATTAATAGCTTTTACAAGGGTCACACAATCACAGCACCGTAAATTGAAACCAGTGCCCGTCCTGATTTATGATCCTATAAAATTAAAACGTTATAATAAAGTGTATTAAATCCCTTAACTGAAAGC